CTGACATGAAAGCCTCTTTAATTTATATCACACAATTTTCACCATTGTATTGATAAAATCTTCTGTCAGTTTTTGTGCAAAAAAAAAATCTATTTTTGCTTACATATATTCGAAATTGCTTCCTTAGTACAAAGATAAGGGCCAAATTTATTCCTGGTGGAAGCCCATTGATGTTTATAATAGAGTTATATCAAGGTTAAATTTGGTCCTATCAGTCAGTCCCATATAAAACTATATCCTGCTAGTCCTCACCTGAAAGCATGCCTGGTCTTCCTGGGCAGAGTACATGACCTCCTGCAGAGATTGGGAAAGTGCCAATCTGCTGTCTCCTTTGCCTTTAGGAATTCTCAACTTTTCCCCCAGCTTTGCTTTTGTCAGTTTCACCCTTTCCAGAGCCAGTGGTCCTGTGAGATTTCCCCTTTGGAGGATTCTATCAGTGAATCTGGATCCATGCAGATGTTTCCCTGGGGGAAGGCAGCCACACACAGTAGGATTCGGACCAGAGATGAGCTTTCTTCTGTGATTCCTCCTGTTTCTCCCATTTGCAGAATCCTCCCCCAGAGCCTGGAGTGAGGCTAGGATGCTGGCTTTCCTTGTCTCTGTGTCTAGTAGCATCTTGCTGCTGGAAATAAAAGACACAAATGGACATCAATAGCCTATTGAAAAATTATCTAGTTTTAAGAGTTTAGTTGCAACAAAAGTCACTGCATTTTTCGTGTGTGTGTGTTTGTTTTTGTTTGTTTGGGGGGAGAAGAGGGACAAAAATATAGGCCAAAAAATATGCAAAGTCTCCTCCACTAAGGAAATTAATACAATAAATATTCCTTCTCCCCCAACAGTAAATAAAGAGATTAGTGATAAAGACAATAGCAAAAGAGAGAATGAGTCTCATAAATAAATAAAAACTGCGACCAAATTTCCAAACGCTAAATCCTAAATGTGAGAGGTCCAAATTGAAATAAGTTAGTTAATAAATGTTGCAAAGGGAACTGTCAAATGTAGCTAATAAGATCCTGCCTCACTGATCTACTGGGAGAGATGTGGAAGGAGAGCTAGGAATAAAGCATGCCTCTTTCAGTTACTAATCCGTGCTCCATTGCCCAGTTAACTCATACAGACAACAGACACAGCCGGTCTTAAAAAGCTCTGATTTACATTGTCCAATAAGGAGGGGAGAAAGGCGGATCTTCAGACGTTTTGTTTCTGTTGCTTTGAAAGTTACAGCTTAGTATCCAGGGAAATGCAGCTGACAGGGATGTGATATATGGACCTTCCGAGAAGGACCCACTCCCTCACAGGAGAGTACAGCACAGTGCATTTGGAAATAGAACTTTGAAGACTTCTGTCCACCACATGCATCAATTACAACACACACTCATTCATGCCCACACAGATTTCCTTACACAATAGAATTTTCATACATAACCACATACACACATCTACCCACTCCTACATACACATCCTTTCATTCACTTGTTTCATACACCATATGTACACCTATCAGACACATAGAACCATCCAAAGTAAACACCGCACGTGCACTCCCAGACACCTCACATTTACTAAAACTTAGTCATCCCATAAAGCACAAATATACATTCAGAATTTCTCAGAAGTGCTTCCCCTATGGAGCTCTGCTGTCAGCAGCGGCTCCAGGCACCAGCGCTCCAAGCGCGTGTCTGGGACGGCAAGCTGAGGGGGGCACCCTGCCGGTTTCTGTGAGGGTGGCAGTCAGGCAACCTTCGGTGGCTTGCCCACGGGAGGTCCGCTTGTGCCGTGGATTCGGCAGCGGGTACGCCAAAGCCGCAGGACCAGCGGTCCTCCCACAGGTATGCCGCCGAATCCACAGGACTGGGGACCTCCCACAGGCAAGCCGCCGAAGGCAGCCTGCCTGCCGTTCTTGGGGTGGCAAAAAAAAACTAGAGCCGCTCCTGTCTGCTGTAATCAAAACAGGTGGTGTCCTGTAATTTTGATAGTGAATTTTTATTTGTAAAACTATTAAAATATTACTTTAGGTAGAGGGCCTGATTGTTCTCTAGAGCAGTGGCTCTCAACTTTTCCAGACTTCTGTACACCATTCAGGAGGCTGATTTGTCTTGCGTACCCCAAATTCAATTCACTTAAAAACTACTTGCTTACAAAATCACACACAAAAATACAAAACTGTCACAGCACACTAGTACTGAAAAAATTACTTACTTTCTCGTTTTTACCATATAATTATAATATAAATCAATTGGAATATAAATATTGTACTTACATTTCATTATATAGTATATAGAGCAGTATAAATAAGTCACTGTCTGTATGAAATTGTAGTTTGTCCTGACTTAGTTAGTGCTTTTTACGTAGCCTGTTGTAAAACTAGGCAAATATCTAGATGAGTCGATGTACCCATGGAAGACCTCTGCATACCCCTGGCTGAGAACCACTGCTATACAGACTAATTATTTTTATCGTTTCCATTCAAAAAGCATGTATGATGCTCCTCCCCTTTTCTCTCTCTCACAGACATTTCTTGATATTACAAGGAATAGCTCTCTAAACTCCAGGGATCCTGAGGGGAAAAAATATACTATGCAACTATGTAATTAAAAGCTACCATAATGAAGATGCACAAGGGGCAATTAAAATTGCACAGAAACCTAAATTTCCTAACTTTCAAGGGTTTCACTTTGCAATGTAAATAATATTCGGTGTAAATAACATCGATTTGTAATGTCATTTCATACATCCTTTCCAATACTTAGCAATCATTTCAACAAGGCTTTTCCAAACTGCAGTTGACACCACAGTGATAAAGAAAATTTCCACTGTACAATTTGAATGTTAATTTGCTTTTTAGCAAGACAAGGTGGGTAAGGTCTTTTATTGAACCAACATCAGTTGGTGAGAGAGAAAAGCTTTTGATTTATACAGAGCTCTTCATCAGGTCTGGGAAAGGTACTCTTAATGGCCACAGCTAAATAGAAGGTGGAACATGTTCCCAGACCTGAAGAGCTCTGTGTAGGGGGAAGGCTTGTCTCTCTTACCAACAGAAGTTGGTCCAATAAGAGATATTACCTAACCCACCTAGCTTCTCTAATATCCTGAGACCAACAGGGCTACAAGAACACTGCATACAACAGTGTTGCTTTTTGGCAGACTATAGGGGACATGCTACTGTTACAAATCTATTGTAAGTGGTCAGTTTCATAGCACTAGTCAAACCTAATGATCCAAAGTAACAAGTATAGAATCATAACAGGAGTCTCGCAATGAAATTAAGGCCTGGTTTTTTTAAAGTCTTGCAAAAGACACATCCAGCTACTACACCCACAAACACCCAGAGGATGAACACCCATGAAATGAGCATTTAAATTACACCTAGGGACACCTAGCTTTGCAAAAGCACCCTAAGTTTTGGTGGTTTGGGAGACCACAGAAAAGGGGCACCTCTATAGTACGCAAGACCCAAACTGCACAGCACAGGGCTTTTTGGCTCCAGGTAGGGTGACCAGACGTCCCAATTTTATAGGGACAGTCCCAATTTTAGGGGTCTTTTTCTTATATAGGCTCCTATTACCTCCCACCCCATGCCAATTTTTCACACTTGCTGTCTGGTCACTCTTGCTCCAGTGCTGCTCGGGGGGAGCAAGTGGGGCAATTTGCCCCAGGCCCTGCAGGGGCCCCCACGAGAATATAGTATTCTATAGTATTGCAACTTTTTTTTATGGAAGGGGCCCCAAAATTGCTTTGCCCCAGGCCCCCTGAATTAGGGTTATCATACGTCCGGTTTTTCCCGGACATGTCCGGCTTTTTGGTAATCAAACCCCCATCCGGGGGGAATTGCCAAAAAGCCGAACATGTCCGGGAAAAATACTGGCCGGGCACTTCCCCTCCCGGGCTCCAGCTGCTCTGCTCGTCCCCTGACTCTTCGGCTCTGTTTAAGAGCCGAGCTGGCAGAGCGCTCCAGCTTCGGGCAGCCCCCTTGCCTCCAGACCCCAGCTGCCGGCCGGGCACTTCCCCTCCCAGGCTCCAGCTGCTCTGCTCCGGCGGCGCAGGATCCGGAGGCATGGGGGCTGCCCAAAGCCGGTAGCGCTCAGGCAGCTTGGCTCTTAAACAGAGCCGAAGAGTCAGGGGAGGAACAGAGCAGCAGGGGCCCGGGAGGGGAAGTGCCCGGCTGGCGACGCAGGGTCCGGAGGCACGGGGGCTGCCCAAGCGCTACCGGCTTCACGGTTTACCGGGCAGCCTCCAGACCCTGCGCCCCTGGCTGGGCGCTTCCCCTCCCAGGCTCCAGCTGCGCTGGGGAAGTGCCCAGCCGGGGGCGCAGGGTCTGGGGGCTGCCCGGCAAACCGTGAAGCCGGTAGCGCTCCGGCAGCCCTTTTCACGTGGCTGGGAGGGAGTTAGGGCGGGGACTTTGGGGAAGGGGCGGAGTTGGCGCGGGGCCGGGGCTGGGAGAGGGGCGGGGCTAGAACCCGTGGAGTGTCCTCTTTTTTATTTTTTAAATATGGTAACCTTAGCCTGAATCCTCTAGGTGGCCCTGTTTGGCTCACAACCAGCCCCGCCGAATGGCACCTGGAACCAGCTTGGGGCCGGTGCCACGCTGGATGGAGCACACCCCTCAGCCTAACACGTCAGCAGCCAAAGGGCAGGTGGAAATGCTGAATATGGAGCCACCCGCTCCCCGCGCCTCCCATCCTCGAGCTGGGGAGGATCAGATCATGTGCTAGGGTCTGATCCGCCTCAGCCCCTGGCCCGTCCTCAGCCTCTGCCTGCCCCGCCCTCGTTCCCCCCGGAGCGCGCCGCCCCTTCCCTGAGGGACACAGTAACACCCTCCCCGCCCACACCACACCCTCAAACAACGCCTCAAAATGGCAGCGCCGCCCCCCCCGTAACTAGACAGGCCGCGGAGCAGCTGAGTACACTGCCCCACACACCCCTCCGCCGCCAGGCGGCGCAGACGCAGTAAAGTTAGAGCACAAGTGCACTCCATCCCCCCAGAGCAATGGCCGACAGGCCGCGCATGCGGGTTGGAGTCGGTTTTCCGCCCAAGCACTTCCCCACAGAGTAATGGCGCCAGTGTCCTGCCGCGCATGGGCAGGAAGCACCCGTAGGCCTCCTCGCACCCCCGGGTCTGTGGTGGTTGGCGCGTCGGCTCGGAGATGCCACAGGAGCTGGCGGCGGAACAGCGGGGACGGCTCCTGCGCTCTCTGAACACACGGGAGCCCTCTCACGTGATCTTTTGTAATCGGAGCCCCCGGGTGGTCATCCCCATCTGGCTGGACTTCGAGGGTCAGCCACAGCCCTACCCGGTCCTGCAGCCGGGCACCGGCCGGAGGATGTACAGCTACCTCGGTGGGGACGGGCGGGGAGTGCACATCTTCCAGGGGAGGGGTACATTCACACCTGCCAGCGTGGGGGGGGGGGGTGCACAGCTACCAGGGTGGGAATGGGCACAGGCTGCACTACTAGGGTGGGATGGGCGGGGGTGCACAGCTACCTAGCTGGGGATGGGTGGGGGAGAGCATAGCTGCCAGGGTGGGGACGGGTGGCGGGGTGCACAGTTACCACAGTGGAGATGGGCACAGGGTGGACCTACCAGTGTGGGGATGGGTAGGGGGTGCGTGCCCACCAAGGTGGAAATGGGCAGGGGGGTGCAAAACTACCCAGGTCAGGATGGGTGGGGGGGTGCATGCCCGCCAAGGTGGGGACAAGCGGGGGGGCATGTGCCCCCCAGGGTGAGGATGGACGCGGGGGGTTTCTTGAAGCAGGGGGGTGAAACTGATGTGCAAAGGTGAACCTTGGATGGATTTATAGCCGTGGATGTCAATAAAGTATCTGATTCAAAACAGCAGGTATTACCCACCCTGCCTGTCCTGTGGCCACTGTTTTGAAGTCCAAAGGGTCCATGGCTGCCTGCGTGTGTTTATTTAAGGAACTGGCAACAGTGTTCGCTCCTGGGAAATCCCTAGTGGACTTCAGTTCAGACATCTATTTGAAAGCCACTGGCAGGCACACAAGCCACAAGAAGAATTGAAATAGTTACTAATTCCAGAGCTCAATTTCATTTTAAAATAAATTACCTTCCTCATATTTATCTACAACATAGATAACATTAAAAATAATTAGAAACATAGCTCCTTTGTTATATTTAATCTCTGTTTTGTTATAGAACATCTTTGGCTGTTCAGAGATGCAGAAACAGATGATGGACTTCTTGTCAATCAGACAGAGCTGTTTGTGCCTTCTCGCAATGTGAATGGCCAGCCCATATTTGCAAATATCACACTTCCAGGTACAATTATAAAGAGAGTTAAATCTGCTAGAATTTAAGGGGAAATTGATGAGCTAAGATCAGAGACCTTATTCTACTTTGGTACAAGGGAGGGTGTGAATGAATCAGATATTCAAGCAATTAATAAAAACTTTATATCTAAAATTGAAAACAAGGGATTTCTAAAGCAACATCATTGATTTCTCTTGAGTACAGTTATTTACAGGGTTTTGACATTATTTAAGTCTCCCTGCTCTCTGCATTTCTAATGTATCTTATGATATATTTCATAATCCATTGGATAGGGTACATAACTGCGAGTCAGAAGATCTGAATTCTGCTTCTCTCTGCCAGTGACTCTGTGATAGACCTAACCTTACTGAGTCTCATTCTCTCCATTTTGGGAAAAGTAATACCTATCTCACAGAAGTATTGCAGGCTAAATTCATGAATGTTTGTGAGATACGTTTGACATATTTGGCTGGAGAGTGCTAGAGAAGCTCAAATAATATTACATAAATATTAATCTTCTCTCTCTCTTTGCAGTATTCAGTCTGAAAGAGAGGTGTCTTCAGGTTATTCGCAGTCTGGTAAAACCAGTGGACTACAGGAGATTGGATATTGTTCGGTCATTATATGAAGATCTGGAAGATCATCCCGACATTAGGAAGGATCTTCAACGGCTGTCTCTGGAAAGAAGTTAAATGATAAGGAATGGTGTCCCTGATTTAAAATGAACATCATTCATTCCAGACTCTTAAGTGGGGAAGAAAACTCTACTGGGAAACTACTGTGTGTAAGTGATGTTAACCACATTGAAACACATTTCAAGAGCTGAGTAGGTGTCAGGATTTCATGCTCTGGAAGGTGCCTGCTCTCATTTGGTTTCAATATATAAAATTTATTAGGATGGCAAGAGCAAGATTCAAGAGATCAAATAGTATGTAACATATACCAAGTTTATGATGTTTCAGTTTAAACATAGTAGACTCAATTCTGCATGCAATTAAACCTATGCAATGCTATTGACATCAGTGGCCTTGTATAAGTGGAACTAAGGACAGAATCTTGCTCTTTGACTGTTTCAGAACAAATGTAACAAAAGGCGTTTCTGATATAGAGATATAACACTGGCTTGCCCACGATCATTCTCTTTTGGAGGGTATAAATACAGACAATTTCCTTATCATTAGAAAGAGTGCTACATCAAGGATGAAATTGAACTAGCTGCTTGAATGATCAGGAGCCAAACACAGCACTTGTAGAAGTGTGTATAACTCCATTGACTTCAGGGGATTTTGACCTCCTTACATAAGGACTAAATTTGCTCCTATCTTGCTCTTAGGGAACCTGATCCAAAGCCCACTAAAGTCAATGGAAAGTCTGTGTGTATAGGCATAAGGAGTTTTCTGCCCCTGCTCTCTGCATTTGTGTATCTGCATCAGGGTTATCAGAATCTACCACACGGGTCGGCACATCCCTCACCTGCGCCGCTTCCCGCCGCCCCCATTGGCCTGGGACAGCGAACCGCGGAGAGTGGGGGCTGCGATCGGCCGAACCTGCCGCGTCAGCAGGTAAATAAACTGGCCCGGCCCGCTAGGGTGCTTACCCTGGCGAGCCGCGTGCCAAACATTGCCGACCCCGATCTAGCACGTAGGGTTGAACAATATTTCTAGGTTAAAACACTTTTTGAAAGGTCACTGGCTGGATGTTTTTCCCTCTCCTGTTGCTGGACCTTTTTATTAACTTATGTGGACCTCTATGCATCACTTTGAGTTAATGTGTCCTGGTGTGGTGAGAGATTGCTTCTGATGATGAGTTGGCAAGGTTGGAGGGTTGTTTGAAGGCCAGAAGAGGACACAGACCAGGACATGCCAACTCTAAGCAGCACGAGACCCTGTCCCAACAACAGATGCAAAACCTGCAGACCTAACGCCAATGCTACAGTAAGCAATATCTCCCTGCAACGCACCTTTTAAGAGCCAAGTGTCATACACATGCTTATCACAACATGTGGTGTACCTCATCCAGTACATCAAGTGCCCCAGCAATAACTAGGTGGGTGAAACCAGACAATCACTGTGCTCTGAATTAACTCTCACAGAGAAAATGATAAAAGACAAAAACACCATATCACCCATGAACGAACACTTTTTCACAAAGCAATCACTCCGTATCTGACCTCTCAAACTTCATCCTCAAAGGAAACCCGCACAACGCCTTCAAAGGATGAGCCTTGGAACTTCCAATTCATAATTCCATTGGATACTAAAAACCCTGGACTTAACAGAGACTGGTTTTATGGCTCATTACAACAATTTGTAACTCACCTTACTGCTTGCTAATTGCCCACTTCATTTTAAGTGGTCTGCTATAGTAGGAATGAACCCCTTATGCTTAACAATCTGTCCCACCTTGTATTTAGCTCAGGCACTCTGGTTACCTCCCTGAGACCTGAGGAAAAGTTCTGTGCAGCTCAAAAGCTTGTTGCTTCCACCAACAGAATGTGATCCAGTAAAAAATAAATATTACCTCACCTACTTTGTCACTCTCAAAACCTGGGACCAACATGGCTACAACAACCATACAAATAACATATGTGCAGGAATCCATCAAAGGTGTAAATACTATGCAAGGTGAGCAGCAGATCTTTGCATAATATTTTGCCATTGTTTAATCTTGCACATTTATTTCTAATGAAAAAAATATATACATTCTAGGAAAACTGCTGTGAAACTAAATGAGTAAGAAGCCACAGTGTAAATATTTAAGTGTCTTTCCATTTTTGTAAATATTAGTTTATTTTTTTCTTAAAACATTGTGAATTAACTGAGTTTTGTTCTGTGCCAGAAAATGTAAATACATATTAACTTGATATTGGGTTTTATTTTTTACATGGTTTTCTTGTGTATAGTTTACATGGTTTTTTAGCCATATATTCTTGCATACTAGAAGGAACCCCTGGAGGTATTTTTAATCAACCACAAATGTACACTTTGCAAAACTACTGAAACAAAGGCACAAGAAGTGAGCTGTAGCCCACGAAAGCTTATGCTGAAATAAATTTGTTAGTCTCTAAGGTGCCACAAGTACTCCTGTTCAGTTTACAAAATGTAACTAACCCCTTCCATAGGCTGTGTCTACGCTAAACTTTTCCCCCTAAAATTTCCGTCTGTTGCTACTAAGATGAAGCTCCAATGTTGGGAGCTCTAGTGTAGACAAAGTGCCAGCAGTTTCCACCATTTAAAACCACCCTCTAACGTAGTTGTGGTAAAAACACCAGTACCTTGCCTACACTAGTACTCCACTCTTGCTACCTCTGATTGCTGCTCCACTAGTAGTAGTAACAATGGGAAATACTTTTAAAAAAAAAAAGTCTGATGTAGACAAGGCTATGTAGATTGGATTCAGATTCGGACACTTAGTAATTTGTCCAGGCCCTAAAACTTCCTTTTTTTGTTTAAAGTATGGCAAATCACATACTTTTACGGCTCAATTCTACAAACACTGGGACAGACTCTTTTTATCAGTGTTGTTCTTGTGTTATTCTATATTTGTCCAATAAATGTATTTAGTGTTATAATCCACTTACAAAAACAGCCTATTTTGAACTGACTGTTTTTCTAATAACTACTAGATCTTAGGTTTGAACATGCTTTTTTGGGTTACTCCTAAGCATTCTGTATAATATGGTTTAAGTTACGTAGATTTTATGTGCTCTTGTGACTATCAGGATTATTAAAGTTTGTGTTAAAATTACTCCCATCAGTCTGTGACTAGCTGCTTTGAAATTTATGAAAAGTAATATTTTCAAGTTATAAACATTCAGTAATTCTTCGTACAGGACTGATCATAATTAAAGGGCCAGATTCACTGGTCTGCTGGAGTGGTGTAAAGCAGCAGAGCATACTGGTGCATCTGCCCCAGAAGCAACAACTTAGGCTAGGTCTACACTACGGGGGGGGAGGGTGTCGACCTAAGATACGCAACTTCAGCTACGTGAATAGCGTAGCTGAAGTGGCGTATTTTAGGTCGACTTACCTAGCTGTGAGGACGGTGGCGAGTTGACCGCTGCCGCGCCGCCGTCGACTCCGCTTCCGCCTCTTGCCGCGGTGGATTTTCGGAGTTGACGGAAGAGCCATCGGGGATCAATTTTATCGCATCTTCACTAGACGCGATAAGTCGATCCCCAATAGATCGATTGCTACCCGCCGAAGATGTGCTCTTACCAGAAAATACACACTTAGAAGCCCAATGCTCTGACTTGGGTGACCTTCTAGAAGTATCTATAAGATACCAAGGCAACTTAATTAAACTTTTAGTTAATGTTGATTCTGCTAGGCAATTGATTTTTGCAGGTTTCTTGTCTTAATTTTAAGACATGTTTCACCATGGATCAGGGCCAGCTTAGCTGTTTAGGAAAAATACCAGACCAGAATATGTAAAGTTTGATACTCTGTTCTGGAATTTTCCCTGAACAGCCACGCGGACCCTGATCCACAGTGTACCTGAAAGGAGAATTTTTGCTTTAGGTTTAAAAAAAAAAAAAATCTGGAGGGAAGCATAGTGACAAGCAAACAAACCATGGAACCACACGTAAAATGTACTTTAAATCAGTGGGAGTTTTGCCCAAATACGGATTAGAATTGAATTTTATACAGCCACTTGCACCCCATTTTGCATCTGATTGTGCAAACTGCCAAGCAAGCACTGTCAGCAAAGCCACTGGGCGTTGAGTGTGCTTAATACCTTGCAAAGTCATAAATACTCCTAAGGCCTTGGCTACATTTGCAAATTACAGCGCTGTAAAGCCTCCCCCAGCGCTGTAACTCACTCCCCGTCCACACTGGCAGGGCACTTACAGCGCTGTATCTCCCTGGGTACACCGCTGCAGGTACTCCACCTCCCGGAGAGGAATAACAGCTGCAGCTAATCACCTTGTGAAGTGGCCAATCCTCTCCATTGTTGTGACCGGCTGCAGGAATGCGGAAGTGCCGGTTTCAAAGCTCCTACCACAAAGAAAAGCAAACAGATTGCAGCTTGCTTTGAGTGAGTGAATGAATGAGCAGGGGGACGGGAGTTCGGAACTTGCAAAATAGAGAGCTGACATGCTCCAAAAAGCACTCTTTCTCCCCCCACACTCTCTGTCACAATCCACCCCGTTTTGAAAAGCACATTGCAGCCACATGAATGCTGGGATAGCTGCCCATAATGCACCGCTCCCAACACAGCTGCAAATGTTACAAGTGTGGCCACACCACTGCGCTGGCAGCTGTCAGTGTGGACAGACTGCAGCGCTTTTCCCTACTCAGCTGCACGAAGACAGGTTTACCTCACAGCGCTGTACAGCTACAAGTGTAGCCAAGGCCTAAGGTTCTTCCACATCCAAGATGAAGGGCTTATGTAACCTTTCCACGCCTAAATGAGTCCAATATCTGCCATTTCTTTCATTCCTAATGCACTGAGGGCAAGTTTACGCTACCACCTAAGTCGATATAACTTATGTCACTCAGGGGTGTGAAAAAAACACATACACCCTCCAAGAGACACAAGTTTTACGCTGTCCACATTGGCGCTATGTTGGTGGGAGAGGCTCTCCTGCCGACGTAGGCCTTGGCTACACTCGTGGATTCACAGCGCTGCAAGTACTCCACCTCTCCGAGGGGAATAGCTTGCAGCGCTGCGAGCGAGCGTGCAGCGCTGCAGGCGCTGATTACACTGGCGCTTTACAGCGCTGCGCTCAGGGGGGGTGTTTTTTCACACCCCTGAGCGCAGCAAGTGCAGCGCTGTGAATTGCCAATGTAGCCAAGGCCATAGCTTCTGCTTCTTGATAATGTGGAGTAATCATGCCAACAGGAGAGCGCTCTCCTGTTGGTATAGCACATCTTCACCAGACACACTCCAGCAGCGCAGGCTGCACTGATGTAGTGCTGCACTGTACACTTGCCCTTATTCTTCCCATGCTTTTTGGGAAAAGTGGTTTATTCAACACATCAGTGAGTATCTGTCTCTGAGGGTTATTTTATTATTTGGATTATAGTAGCATCGAGAAAACACAACCAAGATCAGGGTCTGACTTTTAGACACTGTTGCTGGGGCTGACCGCAAGTTACCTTGGGCTGTTATTACAGCATAGTTCAAGGGGAGCTAGTAGTGAACTGCTGGGCTGGCTTGCAGCCACTTGACTGATAAACTAGTAAAGAGATAAGGAAGGCCGGAGAGTGCTGAGTGTGGGAATAGAGAGCAGCAGTGATTTCTGCCAGAGCCTGCTTGTGGGTGAATACGCCCCCTCCCTTAGAAGGAGATGGTGATAAAAACAGCTATGAGGATTGCTTTAGACGAACAGTCTCACCTGCGAACCTAGGCCTTGTGGGTGCCCAGGAATTCCCCATGCTGGAGCAGCGCCTGCTACGAGCCCTCAAGGACAAGGCTGGAGGGTCCGGGACGGTCCGTAGCAGAAGGGGCGTAAGCATTGATGCTTGCTTGCTTGCTTGCGTAGTTGCTGGAAAGCATGTATTTAGTAACGCGTGAAGGCTGGGAAGCTTATTATAGCTTGGCAATAAAACCGGTTATACTTATGCACCTGTTGTGGCTTCATTGAGTGTATCTGAGCCCTCCCCTTTGGCTCGACAATTGTACGTACATAGAGTAAGAAACACTTTCTGCCCTGAAGAGCTTATTACATATATAGACAAAGAAAGTATTCTTACTCCCGTTTCACAGAAGAGATTAAATTACTTGCCTAAACTCTCAAGGAGGTTATGGCGGGAACTGAAACCAGAGCACCTGAGTCCGAGTCCACTGTCTTAACCACACACCATATTTTTCCCTTGTTCTCCCCAATTGTTTGTTCTTTCTTCTTGTCATCTGGATTTGTTAAGACCTGACCTACTTTCAGCTCCCATCTATTCAGCTGATGTAACCTCATTTTCCTGTTGCCAAAGCATTGGTAATATTTTTTACTGTTACATCATTTTTTTAAAAATGTTGACTAGTTCCTCTTCAAAATGAGAAGCATATATAAATGTATCAGATATTAATTTATAAATATATTTTTACTGATTCTTGAGTCATGTGGCAATGTCATTTTGGAGACATTCACACTGTGAATGTAACAGCAGGTCTGTGTGATACTGTCTATCACTATAACGTACATGAAAATGTCTTTCAGTATATTTAATACTATCCATTGCCTGACCTAGTCATAAAAATTGAATGCTAATATTGGCATTGAAGCTTATCACATGCTCACCATACCTTCTGTGCAGCAGTTCAGAGAGTGTATCGTTTGAGTGTATCTAATTTTTCATGGCCCAGAAACATCCTGACACAAGAAAGGACTTCATATTTATCTGCTACTGGAATTGCAAGAACAGTATTTCATAACAATTCCTCTCATCAGTATGATTTCATTTTTCAGCTAAACTCATGGTTAATATCAGGGATCGGCAACCTTTGGCACACAGCCCATCAGGGAAATCCGCTGGTGCACCAGGACGGTTTGTTTACCTGCAGCGTCCGCAGGTTCGGCCGATCGCAGCTTCCACTGGCCGCGGTTCGTCGTTCCAGGCCAATGGGGGCTGCGGGATGCGGTGTGGGCTGAGGGATGTGCTGGCTGCCGCTTCCTGCAGCCCCCATTGGCCTGGAACAGCGAACCGCGGCCAGTGGGAGCTGCGATCTGCCGAACCTGTGGATGCTGCAGGTAAACAAACCATGCCCGTGCACCAGCGGATTTCCCTGATGGGCTGTGTGCCAAAGGTTGCCGATCCCTGGTTTATATTATTCATTAAAAGTTAAAAGTATGGTCAGGATAAAGCAGGTCTTTTTGTTTTTCCTAATAAATTATTGAAAGAAGAGTCTGCTATTTGAGGGACCCTCTTTTAGACAGTTGTTCTCAAACTTTTGTATTGGTGATCCCTTTCACACAGCAAATCTATGAGTGCGACCCCCCTTATAAAATAAAAACATTTTTTTTTTATATTTAACACTATTATAAATGCTGGAGGCGAAGCAGGGTGTGGGGTGGAGGCTGAGCTCACAACCCCTCCAAGTAATAACCTTAAAGTAATGACCCCCAGTTTGAGAAACCCTGGATTAGATGTGTAAGTGACGTCTGGGTTATGGTAATTAAAGATCCTATGATGATATGGTCTGATGGAAAATCACTACACCCAATGGAATGTGGTCACGTTCTACAAAGATAAGTAAACCACTGGCATAATCTTCAAGCTTCATGGGAAAGTATTTTTTCAATTGCAGCAAGTTCATGTATATGAGAATGAGTCCTGGTCTACACTCCTAAATTATCAGAGGGGTAGCCATGTTAGTCTGAATCTGTAAAAAGCAACAGAGGGTCCTGTGGCACCTTAAAGACTAACAGAAGTATTGGGAGCTTATGCTTATGCTCCCAATACTTCTGTTGGTCTTAAAGGTGCCACAGGACCCTCTGTTGCTTTTTACAGATTCAGACTAACATGGCTAACCCTCTGATAATTTTGGAGTGGAGACCCAGACTCATTCTTATATACAAGAACTTGACTC